AAATAGGTTGAAAGCCTATAGGCAAAGACATGCCATATAAATAATACACGAAAGAAAGCTGGAGTGGTAATATTAATATTAACATCAAAGTGGACTTTAGAAAAAGGAGTATTATCAGTGATTAAAAAAAGTCATTTCACAATAATAGAGGGGTCAAATCACCAAAAACAACTAACAATTCCAAATGTATATGTATCTAATTCCAGAGTTCCTAAATATATGAAGTAAAACTGACAGAACTGAAAAGACAAAAGAAGTTCACAATCATGGTCAGAGAATTTAATATACTCGCATCTATCTCAGTATGTGGTAGAACAGTAGTCAGAAAATTACTAAGGATATAGAAGACTTAAAAACAACACAGTCAACTGACTTGATCTTATTGACACTCGATAGAACCATCTATCCAACAACTAATACAGTCTAACAAATTATTTTCAATTGAATGACGAATATTCATTCACCCAAAGAAATCATATTCTGGGCCATAAAACAAAACTAAACAAATTTAAAAGGACTAAAATCATACAGAGTATGTTTTCTAACTACAAAAAAATTAGGTTAGAAATCATTAACAGAAAAGTATATGCAAATTCCTTTAAATATTTAGGATTTAAACACACACTTATAAATAACTTGTGGGTCAAAGAAGAAATCCAAAGGACATTAAAACATATTCTGAGCTGAATTAAAATAAAAACACAACACACCGATTTGTGAGATGTAGCTAAAGGAGTATCGAAAGAAATATTTATAGCTTTAGATGTTTACATTAGCAATAATTTTATGGATAAAATGGAATATAATCACCTTAAAAAGAAAGATTTCACTGCTATTTAACTTCTCTCACTCTGCTGACAATCAAGTCATTGACAAAAGCCCTTTTTTATCTTGACATTACTCACACAGCAGGTATTTAAGAAATATTTAAGTGAATGAATGCATCATACACCAACATGGACTATAAACATCTGAACAACAAATGGTTTTACAACCTTTCTGGTCCTTAATAATGGTTAGCACTTTGTGAAAGATCTGCTTGGCAGTCAAAAATTGGTGAAATGAACAACATTCCTCCCCTGTATTCTGTTATGATGAAATTATTGTTCAGTTAAACTGAATTGTGTTTTACTCACTCATTTCTTCTTGCAGGGTTTCTTGTTTCTGTTTTTGAATTTTTATTTCTTGCTCCAAATCTTCTATCTTGCTGTTTTTATTAGTTAACTTTTGATTTAGTTCTTTCATCAAACGTTCGTAATCAGCTATTTCCATATTCATCAATGTGGTTTGTTGGGCATCCTGCACATATTATAAATAAAGATCCACAAAATACTAGATCAGTTCATTTCATTTGTAAAATTACTAAAGCAATGCCACAGGAATAAACAGATTCTACTCTGCTTTACTGTAATAAAAGTTCACACATTAATGAAGAAACTAGAAGTTGTATACTTCCTAGTTTGTAATTTCAAAAAGTGTTTTCTAATAGTTTAATCCAACTTTACCAGTTTCATTGTATCTCATTATAATTTTTATTAACCACAATTGGTAGTTCTCTTGTGGGGTTGTAATTTATAAAATAATAACATTATAAGCCGCTTGTATAGTACTATTCTTTTTATCCATTTTGAAAAAGCTGAGAAAAATTAGCCAAAGTGGTAAGTATAAAACAAATTTCAACTTTTGACCTTCAGTTTAATGTGTCACACTACAATCATGTACAAAAATGAGATAGCAAACCAAAATCTAATAACTCATGAGCATACATTCTTCTGGAGGGATAGGTACTCAGAAAAATAAGTTAAATTTTCAATATTTAGAGGCAAACAATTTAGAAATGATTGTTTTAGTACAAGTAATCCTGTTTTTGAAATATTTCTTTTCAGTGTTTATAAAATAGTTTAACAATGTGAATACTGACATCAGTTTTGAGTCTGGTGTTTTACTTTACCTTTTTAACCAGCTCTAATTCTTGCATGGTTTTCTGAAGCTGTTTCTTTTCCTTTAGAAGTTGAAGCTGAAGTCCTTCAAGTTCATTTACAGAACTGGCATGCTCCTAAAAATAAAAATAAAAACACCATTGCCCCCGCCCCGCCCCAAGCCAACCAACATTTAAAAACTAGAAAAATCTGACATACTAAATTACAAAAAGGTCGGAAATCTTTTATTAAAAAATATACACCCCAAAATCTTAGCTTGGATTCTCAAATTCATAGTTGGCAAACATTAAGGAAATAATGAACTCTGCTGTATTCATAAATTCTATTTGTTAATCCCTCTATTAAAAATACTTTGATAAAAATATCACTATATAACATGAAATAATCCCATAGGAGTGTTTTTACCTTTATCTTCTGCTCTTTCTCAAGTTTTTCAGCTTCCAACTCTTTGTCTACCATTGCTTTGGCTTTTTGAACTTCCAAAATCTGTACTTCTAATAATTTGGCATTAGATTGTAGTGTCTCAACACGAGCCAGGAGATCTTCATTTTCAGAATTTAATTTCTCACACTACAATGACAAATGATTCATTACTGTAAACACACAAAATATATACAGGAGAGGAAGAATAAAATGGTAAATTAATGAGAATATTGGCGTAGTATAAAAAATAATTTCAAAATCAATTCCTAAAAACGACAATCTTAAGTAAAGAGTAAGTTTTAAACACTCATTGTTAAACACTCATTGCCAACAATTAGGCAAACATTACAAGAGACCAGACACACTGGCAGAGAAAAAGGCAAAAATAAAACAATAACAAAAAATCCCAGGGGAACTGAGATTAGAGCAATAAGAAAGACAGGATAGGTCCTAATTGTTTTGTCATATTACTCTCCCAACAGCGGGAAAAAGAAAATTAAGTTTCTGCCCATGTATTAACTTTATTTCATGCAAAAATATTGAAATTGAAATATACTTATTACAATTTTCATGTCTGCATTTACCCAACTTAAAGTTACCTGAAGAGTAGAATTTCTTAATTGTCTTGTAAGGTCTTCTATATGATGCTCAAAATTATTAGCACGTTCTTTTTCTATATCCAGCTGCTCTGATTGCTTATCATATTCTAGTAAAAGATTCTTCAATGAAAGAAAAAATAATTTATCTTTAGGATATTATACATTCAGCTAGTCAGACCGTATCATCAAACCATCTTGATATAAGATTTATGCGTCCATTCTGGAAGCTTAAATATTTACCTAAATTTAACATTTCAAAGAATAGCTAACTGGCATTATATAATAAAAATAGTGTAATTCAGATGACTTATTTTGGGGGGAATCTATTAAAAGGGAAGATGATTTTAAATGTATAGAATATAGTATTTCCACATTAAATATTCCAGTTATCAACAAAACTAAATTTCTGAGATGTAAACAAAATTTAAGGAGGGAGGAGAAAAGGTTTAATTTGGTTGCTTACTAAATTCCACTTAAAGAATTGTGACAAAGGAAATGTTTCAGGTCTGGCCTAATATAAGGTAGAGGTACTAATGGAAGAATATGAGAAAACATTATTAAATACAATCTCTCACGTCTTATGGGAAAACATTCAATATTTTCTAAAGACTCTGAAACCAACTGAATTTTTTTGATATTCCTAGTTGGCCCCTACTCAAGTATAGAATGTCTAGGCTGGCCTTTTTTTGCTACATACCAGCCAATCAGGTTACCCCCAAAATATGTAAATGAGAATCACTGTTTCCAGACTGCCTATAGTATTTTTCCTTCTCCCTTCTCTTAGAAATCCAGTTTTTGCCTTTATTCCTGGACAACCATTGACTGTTCTTCACATAAATGAATTTGTGTGCAAAATAATTGAGAAAATGTTTCTGAGTTTTCTTTGAAAATTTATTTTTGGAAGCCTGAAAGTGGCCTTCATTCAGCTCTGGACCTCTTGAGTTCTTGGATTCCCTTCCCAGGTTCCTCTGGTAGTCTCATGCATGGCTATTACATGTTCTTTCTTGCCAAATCTGACCCTTGGCCAAATCTAATTTTGTTTCTAATTCTGATTTATGCATAGTCAATCACTGACCAACACTGGTGGCTGTTAGAATCTAAGTTTCGATTTTATGGTCTGCCCATTTAGTAATTGGCAAAAGGCAGGAATTGGGAATCTAGAATCTGGCTTATAAATGTTTTTCCATGTTTATTTGTCTACGGTTTCTGTTACTTCCTGGCATACATAAATACGAGGTTGAGAAATCATCTATATTCTTTTCCACAGAGAAGATGTCATGCTTGTTTTGTATTAATGTGGATTCCTCTAACTCCAAAAACCAAATCTTTGTCCTCTTAAGTTCTATCTAGTCCTTTTTGTTTTCACTCATTATGGTTCTAATAGTTATCAACAGCTGTAAAAAATTAAATTGCTACACCAAAGCTGATTCTAGTAAATAATGGCTCCTACAGGAAATTTTGAATAAAGAAATATGGTAAATGTCTAAATAAAAAAATTATGTTACTACATAAAAGACATATTGCCATTAATCTCCCTCAAAATATTCCCCCTCACTTCAAACACACTTATTGCATCGTTCTTGCTACTTTCTGAAGCAGTTCTGGAAGTCCGCTTTCATGAATGTCTTTAGTTGCATTGTCGTGGCTGCCTTGATGTCCTGAATCAATTGAAAATGACCTTTCAAGATCATTTAGACTTTGGGGAAGAGCCAGAAGTTGCATGGTGCCAGATCCAGTGAATAAGGTGGGTAAGGACACACCTTAATGTTTTTGACAGAAACCGCTGTACCAGAAGTGATGTGTGACATGGAGTGTTATGAAGTAGGACAAAACAGTTGCCCATTTCTCAGGCTGTTTTCTATGCACACAGTTTCTTAAACATGCTAAAAAGCCCTTATAATATTCAGAGCTCACTGTAGTGTTCCTAGGTACAAAATGAGCTCACACAATTCGATCAAGGTCAAAAAACACAATTAGCATCACCTTGATGTTACTTGTAGATCTTGATTGACACACTTTTTTTCGCATGAGAACTGGGTGATTTCCATTGAGAATTCTGAACGTTGGTCTCAGGATCATAACCATAGACCCAAGTTTCATCTCCTGTGATGACATGTCTTAAAAAGCTGGAATCTAAAGCGGCACAATCACAGAACTCCAACAAAATTGACAAACGCTGTTGTTTTTGTTTGATAATCAACACGGATGGAACAAATTTCACACTCACTTGCCACATGTTCATATCTGTTGTTAAAATGTTTCGAATGGAACCATAACAGATGTTCAGATCCTCAGAAATTTCCCTAATAGTCAATCGCCTGTTTGATCAAATCATTTTGCTTACTCTTTCAACATTCTCTTTTGTTTTGTTTGTTTTTTTAATTATTTTTTTTTTAAAGATTTTTATTGGGGAATTGGGGGAGGGGGAACAGACAAGTTGCTGTCCTTTTGTTCTTCAGTCTAGTTGTGGAAGATGTTGCTTCACTGGCCCAAGTTGGCACCATCATTGCACTCTTCCCGGGTGAGGCACATCAGTCGACGGCTTCTGGACGGCCGCTTACACCGGCTGCTGGCCACTCACACTGGCTGCTGGCTACACACAGTAGCCCATGGCAAACAGTCTCTTTGGTTTTTGATGTTGAAGGACATCCCGATCTCTCGTCTTCAATCAATTCACAACCATTATGAAATCACTTGAACCACTTGTAAATCGTCTTCATGGTCACTGCAGCATCACCATAAACTAATTTTAACATTTTGTGTGTTTCTTTAGCACTTTTTGCAGTTTGAAACAAAATTTCATGTTAATGCACTGTTCGTGACCCATGATTTAAAATACACCTTCTCTCAACCGATAGCTCACACCTGACTGACTGCACTGAACAAGTTGAAACTTGTTACACACTGTTAATAAGGTTCGAAGTGCCACTTCCCATATTAAAGATCCCTGCCTTTTTGTTAGATGACACTCGGCAGCTGCATTCACTGAATTTTTTATCACACCGCATATTTCCAAAGTACAGGGACAAGCTGGCTCCAAACTATCACAGAAAGCTTTTACTAAAGTGGCAGTGGCTGGGCCAGCCGAGTGCGCATTGGTTAAGAACTGGCTTGGGACGCCAGAGGACCCTGGTTCGGATCCCATGTATGAGGGCCAGTGACACTGCCCTCTACAGCTAAGATGCTGAACAACAGCTCAACCTGGAGCTGGGCTGCCGTGAGTCACCGGCGACAGCGTAGGCTGCAGACTCTGCTGCAGTGGGTTGCCAAGGGCTACTGTGTGTAGCCAGCAGCCAGCGTGAGAGGCCAGCAGCCGCAGTGAGCGGCCGTCCAGAAGCCGGCGACTGATCTGCCTCGCCCAGGAAGAGCGCAATGATGGTGCCAACTTGGGCCAGTGAAGCAACGTCCTCCACAACTAGACTGAAGAACAAAACAACAACAACTTGTCTGTTCCCCTTCCCCCAATTGCCCAATAAAAAAATCTTAAAAAAAAAAAAAGTGGCAGTGGCACTCAATCCTTGTTAAAGCAGCTCCTCTGGACCTGTGTCCTTCTACAGGATCTTCGGTCCTCAACAAAAAATTTACGGCAATTTACTCTGAAGGCCATCAAGTTAAATCTAGGGGGGCTGTAATACCCTCTGAATATGCAGCACTGAGACACAGGCTCCTATGTGCTGAAATAGGTCAGTCAGTGGCTGGCTGACTGGGATGTGAGGTGCTGCGAGGGAGGAGTCTACTGCCAAGCCCCACAAATGTTGCTCCCATGAGAAAAAAAAATTCCTCCTGAACCACATATCCTTCTATTTCTTATAGGAAATTCAGCTCCCTTATAATCTTATGGGACCACTTTCAATATACAGTCTGCTACTGACTGAAATGTCATTATGTGGTTCATGAGTGTAATATTCAATTGTCTAAATGGATCACAGTTTATTTATCCATTCACCTACTAAAGGCCATCTTGGTTGCTTTCAAGTTTTGGCAATAACAAAGTGGCTATCAACACCTCTGTGTATATGTTTTCAAATACTTTGGATAAATACCAAGGAGCACAATTGCTGAATCATATGGTAAGCGTATGTTGAGTTTTACAAGCAACTGCCAAATTTCTTCCAAAGTGGCTGTCCCATTTTGTATTCCCATCAGCAATGAATGAGAGTTCCTACTGCTCCACATCCTTGCCAATATTTGTTGGTGCTGTCATTTAGGATACCTGGCCACTCTAATTGGTGTATAGTGGTATCTTGTTGTTGGTTGGGTTTTTTTTTTTTTTTGGTATCTCGTTGTTTTAATTCGTTGTATTTCCCTGATGACATATGTGGAGTATCTTTTCATACATTTATTTGTCATCTGTATATCTTTTTTTTTTTTTAAGATTTTATTGGGGAATTGGGGAAGGGAACAGCGTTGGGCAGTTGGGGAACAAGAACAGACAAGCTGCTGTCCTTTTGTTCTTCAGTCTAGTTGTGGAGGACGTCATTTCACTGGTCCATGTTGGTATTGTGATCATTGCACTCTTCCCCGCTGAGACAGATCTGTCGCTGGCCATTGGACGGCTGCTCAAGGTGGCTCATGGCAGCTCACGCCAGCTGCTGGCCGCTCATGCTGGCTGCTGGCCACTCACGGTAGCTCATGGCAGTCCACTGCAGCCCCACTGCAGCCTATGTTGTCACCGGCGACTCACGGCATCCCAGCTCCAGGTTGAGCTGTTGTTCACCATCTTAGCTGTAGAGGGCAGCATCACTGGCCCATGTGGGATCCGAACCGGCGGCCCACTGCTCAGAGCTCACGCTCCTAAGCCAACTCTTAACCAACAAGCCACTCAGCCAACCCCTGTATATCTTCTTTAGTGAGGTATCTCTTAAGGTGTTTGGCCAATTTTTTTAAATTAGGTTTTTTGCTTTTTTACTGAGTTTTATTAGTTCTTTGATTTCTTGTTCTTGAGTTTTATTAGTTCTTTATATATAGTTATCAGATAAGTGTCCTTCGCAAATATTTTCTTCCAGTCTGTGGCATATCTTCTCATTCTTTGGACATTAGGTTTCACAAAGCAGAAAAATTTTTATGAAGTACAGCTAGCTTATTAATTCTTTCAAGGGTCATGCTTTCGGTGTTCTATCTAAAAAGTCATTGTCATACCCAAGGTCATCTAGGTTTTTTCCTGTTATCTTCTAGGAGCTTTATAGTTTTGTTTTATATTGACGTCTATGATCTATTTTGAGTTAATTTTTGTGAAGGTTATAAGATCTATGTCTAGATTCATCTTTTTGCACATGGATGTCCAGTTGTTTCAGACCCATTTGTTGAAGACTGTTTGCTCCATTGTCAAAGATCTGTTGACTATACTTATTTATTTATTGTTATTTTTTAAAGATTTTATTGGGGAATTGAAGGAGGGGAACAGACAAATTGCTGTTGGTTTGTTCTTCAGTATAGTTGTGGAGGACGCTGCTTCACTGGCCCAAGTTGGCACCATCATTGCACTCTTCCTGGGAGAGGCAGATCAGTCTCCGGCTTCTGGACGGCCGCTCACTGCGGCTGCTGGCCACTCACGCTGGCTGCTGGCTACACACGGTAGCCCATGGCAACCCACTGCAGCAGGGGCTGCAGCCTACACCGTCGCCGTCGACTCATGGTAGCCCAGCTCCAGGCTGAGCTGTTGTTCAGCAACTTAGCTATGGAGGGCAGTGTCACTGGCCCTCATATGTGGGATCCGAAACAAGACCCTCTGGCATCCCAAGCCAGTTCTTAACCAACGTGCCACTCGGCCAGCCCTGTTGACTATATTTATATGGGTCTATATTTGGGCTCTCTATTCTATTCAACAGATCTGTGTTCTTTCAGCAACACCACAGTCGATTGCTGTTGCTTTACAGTAACACTTGCAGTCAGATAGTGTTAATCCTCCCACTTTGTTCTTACTCTATATTGTGTTGCCTATTCTGGGTTTGCCTTGTATCATTTTCCCTCTCTAAAAAACTTCTTTTAATACTGCTTCAAAGGCATGTCTACTAGCCACGAATTCCCTCAACTTTTTTTTTTTTTAAATTGGGGAATTGGGGGAGGGAAATAGTGTTGGAGAATTGGGGAAGGGGACCAGCCAAGTTGTTCTTCAGTCTTCGTTGTGGAGGGCACCAGTCACCATCTGGCTTCCTGTCGGCAGCTCGTGGCCTCTAAGCTCAAGGTGCTATGTTTAATCAAGGTGCTGTGTTCAATCTCAGGTGGGCACAGCCACCATCCCATGTGGGAGTCGAACCAGCAGCCTTGTTGTTAAGAGCGCACGCTCTATCCACTGAGCCATCCAGGCGGCAGCTTAGCTCAAGGTGCTCAGTTCAGTCTTAGCTGCAGGTGGGCATAGCCCACCATCCAACAGGCAATCTTGTTACACCAGCTGAGCCATCCTGCTACCTGTTGGCAGCTCAGCGACAGCTCAGCTCAGGCGCAGCGTCACTGGCCCATATGGGAATCGAACCGGTGGCCCCGTTGCTCAGAGCCTGCGCTCAAGCCAACTCTTAACCAACTGAGCCACTTGGCCAGCCCCTAATTACCTCAATTTTTATCTGATAAAGTCTTTATTTCTACTTCACTTTTTGGAGGATAATTTTGCAGGGCACAGAAACCTAAGTTAGTAGGTTTTTTCTCTCTCAACACCTTTTAATAGTATTTTGTTCTGCACTCTTCTTTCGTGTATGATTTCTGAGAAGTTTGATGTAATCTTATCTTTATTCCTCTATAGGTAAGGTGTCTTTCCCCTATGGCTACTTTCAGGATTTTTTATTTTTGATGTGCTGTAGTTTGAAAATGGTATGCCTAGGTGTAGTTTTTTTGGCATTTATCATACTTGGTGTTCTCTGAGCTTCCTGGATCTGTGGTTTGTGCCTGATGTTAATTTGCGAAAATTCTCAATCATTACTGTGTCAAATATTTCTTCTGTTCCCTCTTTCTTCCCCTTGTGGCATTCTTATTATGTATATGTTATACCCTTAGTAGTTGTCCCACAGTATTTAGATATTCTATTCTTTTTGTTTTCAGTCTTTTGAAATCTGTATTTTAAACAAATACAGAGGGTACAAAAAAAATGTACCATATACACCTTTTAAGAAAGGAAAAAACTGTATTAAAATTCTAATACTCTGGGCCGGCCGAGAGGCACGATGGTTAAGAACTGGCTTGGGACGCCAGAGGGCCACGGTTCGGATCCCACATATGAGGGCCAGTGACACCGCCCTCCATAGCTAAGATGCTGAACAACAGCTCAACCTGGATCTGGGCTGCCATGAGTCGCCGGCGACAGCATAGGCTGCAGCCCCTGTGGCAGTGGGTTGCCATGGGCTATCGTGTGTAGGCAGCAGCCAGCGTGAGCAGCCAGCAGCCGCAGTGAGCGGCCGTCCAGAAGCCGGCGACTGATGTGCCTCG